GCAGTGTATAGAACACCTAGAATTGAACGGGCTATATGAATTCGTGTGTGTGTGTGTGTGTGTGTGTGTGTGTGTGTGTGTGTGTGTGTGTGTGTGTGTGTGTGTGTGTGTGTGTGGCTAAAAATAGTGGCGGTCAATTCATCAGCCTTGCAAGCTGTTGAATGGTGTAATCCCAGCACAAGTTGCTATGTCTAAAAAACATAGCTGTTCGCTATCATCGCTCCCGCGATGGGCATGTCTGAGGTCTGAGGTGTGTGTGTGTGCGCGCGTGTGTGTGTGTGTGTGTGTGTGTGTGTGTGTGTTATCCCCGGCAATCTAATTGGTAGGGCACTGTCCCGGCATGACAGGGGTGCTGGGTTCGAATCCTGCTCATGGGTCCTTCCTTTGCAACAGGTAGTGTTAGATTACAGACACCTAACCACAAGTTGCACCAGCTCACGAAACATGGGGACAGAGATTCACTTTACTTGTTACGTTGGTATCAACACCAAAGAATCTGTGAAGACTGTATTCTGCTGACTGACGTTACACTGTAATGTCCATATACACATGTAACGACAGCGCGACAAACTCATATCAAACCGAGGATAACACGCTCGTGATAACGCTCGTAATAACACTGAACTAGACTAAGAAAGATGGATCCTAATATCCCTGCAAGATTGGGACGTTGTCCCGCTCTCAGAAGCCAGCGCTAGCCTAAGTCTACAATAGAGTAAGAGGTGAGAGCTGTCATGCATACAGCGGAACAGCCAGTGAATAGAGAGTCCTGAGGGCTAAACCAACCACGAACAATACATAAAACCAGACACCATACATTATGAAACAAAGCTGGCTCCACAAGCTCAATGGTCTGTGAACTTTCAATTCCACATTTCCTCCCCCTCTGCTCGAACACAGCCATAAAGTGAGGGCAGTAACCTAATAAACTATAACTAGCAGAACATTTTAAGAGGCCTACGCATGATCTAAACTGAAGGTAACCATGTCAACACATCATGACAGTTCTAAACTAAGGCAGCATTCTGTAACTAGTGTAGTATAACTAGTGTCAATAACTTGAGGCACTCAGCTCAGGTCTTTGGTGGTACGTGTCAAACATCTAGCGCTGGAACCACTGCTCACGTATCCTGGACATCTGCTAGCGACACTGCAGCGGTTGCAGGTAGACTCTTCGACTCGTCAACTGCACCTGACTCTACCTCTAACGGCACCTTCAGTTGCTGCTAAGTGGGTCGTGATCTGGCTGCGTTTGGTCTCGTTTGGCAGCTTCTCAGGAACGACTATGCGCAGAGCAGGCCACTGGGACTCCTCCTGCTGTAGAAACTGTGGTCCATGCCACCAGGTTGCACAATCAGCGAGGTCCTTTGCAGCCATGCCTCTGGTCGGGTAGTCGGCAGGGTTGACCTTCCCAGGCACATGCCTCCACTGGTGACTTGATGTTGCCGTTTGGATCTCACCAATCTTCACCCCGACGTCGGTGGTAAATCGCCGGCTGTGGGATCGCACCCAGTACAGGACATTCATGCTGTCCGTCCAGAAGACGTGGTCCTGCATGGGAATGCCGAGGGCTGAAGACACTTCTTTGCTGACTTGCACACCCAACACTGCTGCCTTCAGCTCCATCTTCGGTATGGACACCTTCTTGGTGGGCGCCAGTCGCGCCTTGCTAATAGCGAGTGTGGTCTTCACTCCAGTTGAATGGATGGTGCTCACATAAGCCACGGCGGCAATGGCGGCATCAGATGCATCAACGAAGACATGTACTTTAGTCTTGACGTCTTCTGCATCCTTGGGCTTGAAGCAACGGTCAATACGGATAGCAGACAGGTCTGGCAGCTCGGAGAACCACTTCTTCCAACGTTTCTGTTCATCAGCACTCAGCACGTCGTCCCAACCATGGCCGAGTATGCAGGCTTCCTGAAACATCATGCGCGGTCGTATGGTGAACGGCGTCAGTTGTCCACGTGGGTCGAAGATTGAGGCTGTCTCACGCAATACTACTCGTTTTGTCAGCTCGTCAATCGCCTCTGGCTGGGGATAGCGGAATGCGAACTCATCCTCTTTCGCTAGCCAAGTGATGCCCAGGGCCTTGGAGGTTGGGAGAAAGCTATCAGCTTGATCTCGTAAGTTGACGACAACCTCTGCTGCTCGGTCGACTTCTGGGATGGTGTCCAACACTTCCGCTGAGTTGCTGAGCCACTTCCGAATATGGAAGCCTCCCCCTTTGAGGACATCAGTAACTCCCCGGCGGGCGTTTGTCGCTGTCTGGATGTCCGGAAATGAATGCAGCATGTCATCCACGTAGAAGCTGTTGTCGACTATCGACGCTACATTGACACTGCCCTCTGCTGATGACTTGAACTTTCTCGCTGTCTCCTTGAGCACTTTGCCCGCGAGATACGGTGATGCCTTGAGACCGAACACAAGACGGTTAAACTCAAACACGCTCGGTTTTGAGTCTGGTGATTTGCGCCACAAGAACCGTGTGTAGCGACAATCTTCCGGACGGAGGTTGACTTGCAGAAACATTTCACTAATGTCACCAGCGAGTGCGATCGGTTCTGAGCAGAATCGTAGGAGCACATGAACCAGGTTTGTCTGTAGCTTTGGGCCTGTCAGCATTTCATCATTCAAGCTGCTGCCCTTCCAGGGTGCTGCTGCATCGAAGACGATACGCACCTTGGTAGTTTGGCGATCTTCCTTCACCACGGCGAAATGTGGTAGATACCACTGGTCATCGGCGTCTGTAGCGACTCTGCTGTCCGACACCTCCTGAACGTAACCCTTGTCGATATTCTTTTGCATCGCCTCACGGTACGCTGAGAGCACGTCTGGTTGTTTGTTCAGTGACCTCTCCAGTGATACTAGCCGGCGTTCTGCCATCGGCCGGTTGTTGTGCACTGTCGGGCCGTCTGGATGTTTCCATGGAATGCCGACTTCAAACCGCCCGTTGTCGCAGCGCAATGTTGCTGCCGTCATGGTTTCAGCTTCCTTCTCAGCTGGTGTTAGATACTCCTTGTCGTTGGTGTTCGTCATTGATTCTGCCTCCCACAGCTGTCGCACGACATCCTCTAAGTTGGCACTGTTGAAATGGGTTGCCATTGGCTGCTGCTGCTTCTGCTGCTTCATGGGCCCGAAGCATACCCATCCAACTGGCAGCTTGCGAGCTATTGGATCATTTGACTCTTGGCCGACAATTTCTTGTAGAACACGGTGAGCGCCTGGGACATTCAATCCAATAAGCACATCCACTTGCTCTGTCGGTAATGTTGGAAATGGAATGTCCTGTAGGTGGGCGTATTCTTGCAGGAGCATCGAGTTGGAGTCGACTCTCAGTGACGGCGAGACTGCTGGGAGAGTCCATGCCGCAAGGTCAGTGCTGTATGTTCCGTCTTCGCTGGCCATGGTGATATGTACTTCTTTGGATTGGCGACTCACACTCTGTCCAGCCAGAACATTAGAGCGGAGGGGTTGCAATTCACCGTCTGCGCCCAACTCATTGGCAACTTCTTCTGAGACGAAACTGTCTGATGATGCAGGATCCATCAGGGCTGTTCCTCTGTACTCTCGTCCGTTTCTCTTAAGCACCACGGGCACTGTCATAAATGATACGGTGGTGCTGGGAGCGGTCAGCTCCGATGATGGATTCACGAAGTGTATGACTGGCTTCTGGGCTGTCTTGCCACTAGAATGGGGAGCAGACCGAGGCTTGTCTTTATCTTGCTGCTTCGGTGTGCCCTGTTTCCGGTCCACACGGTCTGTGTGTAGCAACACATGGTGTCGGGCTGAACATTTGCTGCAGCTACTTGCCTGGCAGTCAGCCTTCCAGTGACCTTGATCTAGGCAGCACGAGCAGAGCTCCAGCAGAAACACCAGGTCCCACCTCTTCCGGGCAGGTAAGGTTTTGAACTTGCCACAGCTGCTGATGTGGTGAGCGCCATGGCATCTCAGGCATACGCCGCTCTTGCTGGTTGCCGGTGTCGTTGTGTGGAACGTTCCACTGCTCTGCTTGCTCACTGGTATCCTTGTGGTTGCGACTAGGGTTGCTGCATCGGCTCTTGCCGACAGCCACGTAGCGAATGTCTCAAGACTCACTGAGTCGACTGCCCGGCTGTTGGTATTTAGGTGTTCGCCCCACTGCAGCCTCAGCGTACCGGGTAGCTTGTCGGTCAGCTCTCTCCGGAGCGTGGGGTTCAGCATATGGCCTGGACTCTTCATCAGTTTCATTGTCGTGACCACATTGCTTACTGCTGTTGAGAACGCCAACAAGCCATCGGTGTCATCAGCCTTAACCTGCCGGAATGCGCGCGCCTTGCCAATCAATTCATCCACTACTAGCTCTGGTCGACCAAATCGCCGCTCCAGAGCGCGGATGGCCTCTTCCACATTTTCAGGAACTGCCAATATCAGTTGAACAGCATCCTTGGCCTGGCCTTTCAAGGCAACTTGTAGTCTTTGCACATTCTCTGCATCAGAGAACCCACATTGGTTGGTGCTGGACCGATACAGGTTGATGAAGGCAGGCCACTCTTCAGCTCTACCAGAGAACATGGGCAGCTTGGTGTTGATGGAGGACTGCCTGGCTGCCAAGTGTCTCATGGGCGTGTCTCCATTGCCTGGTGTCCGACTGGTGATGGCTTGCGTCATGGCACCGAGAAACTGTCCTGCTAGCTTAGTCATACTGTCCTCACCAGCAGGTCCTGCAGGTGTGGGCGATCGCGGCTTTATTTGCGTGGGTGGTCGCTTCCCCTGGTCATCCGACTCATAGCTGGGGCACGCACTGCTGTAGCCGTCGATTGGCACTGGCGTTGAGGCTTTCTGTGTACCGGGACCCGATCCTTTGCCAATGCGACTCCCAGTCCTAGAGTCCGAACGGCTGTTGGCGCGACTCGCGTCCCGTTTATCGATGCTGGTGTTGCACTCCCGTAGGAATAGCCTTTGCCATTCACCCGCTTCCTCCTGGGCACGCTCGACTCTCCCCTGCATCACTGCCAGCT